TCCCCGAGCGTCATCTCGGCTTCTGCTCCCAGCAATCCTGAGCTCGGGGACTTGGATGTGGACACTGAATTAACAAACATCCAAGTAAACTTTGTCAATCTGGAAAATCTGTAAAAGTCAGTGTGACTCATGATTGTTCTTTTGTTTATTTGAAATGAAGGCACAGGGGCCAGGGATACAGCTCAGCAGCATGGCGCCTGTCTGGCAGGTGCAAGGTCCTGAGTTTGCGCCCCAGTACCCAAAGGAAAAAAAGAAAGAAAAGAAAAAAATAAATGAAGGCATGGACCTAGAAACCTTGCACTGATCATGTCCCAGCTCTTTTGTTGTAATTTTGAGAAGGCTTCATTGAGTCACTAAACTGCCTGGATTACAGGTATAGAGCACCACACGCAGCTGCACTGTGAGCTTGGCATAGAGGTCTGTTTAATTCCGGGGTCAGGAGACCAGAATTCTCGCCCTGGGTCTTTGTCCTGCAGCTTTGGACAAAGCGTCAGGCTCCAGTCTTTGCCTGGCTCAGCGGCTCCCCCTGGCTCCCTTACAAGACGCTCAGCTGCCTCGGGGTGGGAGGCTTTGGGACACGCTGGCAGCTCGCTACTTTACTGCTTATTTTGTCAGTTCTGCTGCGGAATGTTGTGAACTAACTCACTAACCACAGGGGACCTTCTGGCTTGTTCTTTTCCTTCTTTCCTTTCTTTTAAAGACCCTTTTTGATTTTTTTCCCCCATAAAATTTGCTTTGCTAAACTTTCTTTCTTCCTCCCTCGCTCTTTCTCTGTTCATTTGATCTTAGCCATAAGGCAGAGAAGTAACCTCTTTCTTTCTTTCTTTTTTTTTTCCTCTTTCTCTTTCTTTCTTCATAACAAAAAGACCCAGGTGGAAATAAAGGAAATAAAGAGTGGCTGTTTGTTACCAAGACAGGTAGCTGGGAGTTATAGATTTCATTCCCTAGAGAAATTTAAGATAGTAAAAGGCCTTTAGATGTTTAGGATAATTTAGTTGCATCTAGAGCCAGACAGAAAAGCAGATACTCCCTGGAGACTCATTTCAGGACAGGACTGTCAGAGCCCTGCCTCCCCTGGAGCTAGCTGTGTGACCTCAGGTGGGTGAGAGTTTCTTTGCAGGAAGATGTGGATAATAGCATCTCTGCCTCAGATAATATGATGGGTTCTAAAGCCTTTTAAAAATTGAAATACCAGTATAGCTAAATTGGGAGGCTGAGGCAGGAAGATCACTGCAAATTTGAGACCATTCTGGGCTACATCTTGAGTTCAAGGCCAGCGTGAAATACATAGTGAGACCCTGTCTCAAAAACAAAAATAGGGGCTGGGGATTTAGCTCAGCGGCATAAGCTCCTGTCTTGCAAGCAGGCATTCGTGAGTTCGATCCCCAGTACCGATAAAAAAAAAAACAAACCAAAAAATAAACCGAAGTCAAGCTTTGTATCAGGGAAAGATCAAATAAAACATCATATTTGTGTGTGTGTGTGTGTGTGTGTGTGCCCATGTGTGTGTATGCATGGTGCTAGAGTACAAATTTAGGACCAAGAGCATGGCAGGCAAGCATTTTACCACTTGCAGCCTGCAAAGCAAGGTGTGTAAATGTGTGCGCATGTATGAATGTATGTTGATGTTGAGACAGAGTCTCACTACGCAGCCCAGGCTGGCCGTGAGCTCACAGTCCTGACTCGGCCTCCTGAATGCCGGGATTATAGACAAGTGCCAACACAAAAGGGCTCTCCTTGATCTTTTTTGATTTTTAGACCCAGAATCTCCCAGAATTTACCTAGATTTCTCCTGAGAGCACTGTGAACCAAACATTCACATTCCACTCCCTTCAAATGAGAGGTTTTTTGTTTTTGTTTTTGTTTTTGTTTTTGAGCCACCAGTGTGTTTTCCACTATTTGTATGAAGCAAAGACCTGAGGAAAATTCAAAAAGGCAACGGTACAGAGAAACAGGCTTCCCCCCGGGAGCCCTCTGGGGCTTAGACAGGGAGCAGATTGCAGATGCTGAAGGGGTCCTTTGCCCCACTCCCAGCTCTTCCCCCCTACCCAGGCCAGGGCAGCTGCACCAAGGGTGTCCGGCTGGGGAGCATTCCTCCTCTGATCACAGGGCCAGTTGACATGGACTAGGCTTCTGTGGCCACTGTACAGCCCTTGATTCCAGCAGTACTAGAAGTCCTTGAGGGCGTCCTGAACAATAAAGATTGCATCACTTTGTTTATCTGGGGAAATGTCTTCCACTTCTACACAATTGGCTTACTAAGCCCCTTCTGAAAACAATAGCCATTCTGGAGCTGGGGACATTCTGTCCATGGATTTCTGACTCACAGCTCTCAGGAGAGGAGGGGGGCGCAGAATCAGGCGGCAAAGCTGGTCCTGATCTTTGCCAGGAAAGTTAAGCCGACAGAGGTGCCAGGGAGAACACACCTGTAAATGTAACCCTCACGTGTCCACCAGCCTGTCACCTGCCTTTCTCTCTGCCACAGGACGTGGGGCAAGTCTGTAAGGTCACAGTCAGCACCTGCAGTGCTAGCCATTGCTAGCCAAAGCAATGTGATTCAAAGAGAAAAACTCGCTCCCGGTCCGGCCTCACCCTTGCTGCTGCTGATCTTTGACCGCTGCAGCGGAAGGGAAGGGCTTGGGAAATCCAGACAATGGCTTGCTTTCCTCCCCAACTTGCAGAGTTCTAGGCAGGGCCAATTAAACCTTTAGGAACCAGGCAAATCTTTTAATTTTTAAATTTTCATATAATAAAAATTGTATTGTTATAATTGTTTATGGAACCATGAGATTTTTAAAATCGCAAATAGAAATAGCCAAAAGAAAGCCATACAAAGCAGGAAAAAGTCCTAAAACTTAGGCTTGATTCATTCAATGGAGAATCAACCTTTGGTTGTAATGAAAATACAATCTCATAGAGATTTAAGTTACGTTCACAAACCTATGCATGCTACTTCTTGTTTAACTGAATTCAGTTTTGGTGTTTTAGCTGGCTCTGTGTGTGTGTGTGTGTGTGTGTGTGTGTGTGTGTGTGCTGAGAGAAGACCTTGCTAAATTGGCAAGACTGGCCTCAAACTCACAATCCTCCCGCCTCACCTCCAGAGTAACTGGGCTAACAGGTGTACACCATGGCACCTGGATTTCACTGAGTTCTGGTCTTCCTCTGACAGCGCCATTTGGTTTAGCTTGTTGTTTGTCTGAGGCTGGCCCTAAGGTTTGTCTATGCTGTCCAGGCTGGACCTAAGTTCCTGGGCTCAAGTGCTTTCCTGCCTCAGCCTCCAGACTAGCTAGGTCCGTAGACATGTGCGCCTGTGCCTGGCTGGTCATTTGGTTTACCTGCTAGAGTGCTTAGCCATCACTTGTCTAATGGAAAGATTGCAAAGCTGGGATCCGTTTCCAGCCCCACCCCACCTCCACCTCTTTCCGCCCTCGCCCCACAGACCTTCCCTAGGTTTCCTCACAGCCCTTCCCCCCTCCTGGAGCTTCTCTCCTCTCTGCCTGGGCCTCCCGTGCTGGCATTTCCACTCCACCCTGCCAGCACCGCCACATTCTGTCTTCCCCTTGCTTTTGGTCTGAAAAATAATCCATTTAATTGAAAAACCCTACTCCTCCCCTCTTCTGCACCAGCTCCCTACATCACATCTCAGGAACAGGCAAAGACGATGCCCAGGATCTCAGCAAGAGCAACGCCTGAGGCTGCGCAGAGCCTTCTCCTTATGCGATCCTCTTGTACAGTCCTCCCCACCCACCCTAGCTATGGACTGAGTGCATGGTGCAGTCAGTTCTCTGTCCCTCAGGAGCATGGACACAGCAGGAGCCAGAAAAATAATGCCTTGACCAACTTGTTAAAGGAAGAATCCCAGCGCTCCGGGAGGCTGAGTCAGGAGGATTGCAAATTTGAGCCCAGACTGGATAACTTAGTGAGAATTTGTCCAAAATAGAAAATTGTAAAAAGGACTAGAGATATAGTTCAGTGCCAAGGCCCGGGCTTCAGTCTCCAGTGCCACAAAAGAAAGGCAGGCAGGAAGAAGAGAGAGAGAGAGAGAGAGAGACAAAGAGAGAGAGAGGCAGGCTCCCTGGGTGATGCTGGTAGCATTGAGCTCTCAGGATGGGCACTTAGGCACTTCTGTGTCTCTGCCACTGTGGCAAAGAGCTTTCTCAGAACTTTTATTTATTCTATTTTTTTCGAGACAGGGTCTCCATAAACAGTTCAGGCTGAACTTGGGCTCCCAAAGCAGCCCAGGCTCGCCTTAAATTCCCAGTGATCCTCTCGCCTCAGCCTCCTGAATTCTGGTATTACAGGTGTGTGCCACCATGCCCGCTTGCTCAGAACTCTTAAGCAATCCTCTAAATCTTATGCCCATGTGGCAGTGATTGTGTCTTACGCTACGTGTTTAGAGAGCGTGAAGCGCTCACACTTGTGTTAGCTTGTCCGATTTCCTCCAGCCTGACCCACAGCCTTCTGCTCCTTTCTCTCTATTTTTCTCCAACTGCAGAGTTGGTTGAGGAAAACCACAGGCCTTGGCCTTTGCCTGTTGCAAGCTCAAGGTTCTGGATGTGGGCATCCCCACGGCCCAGCTCCTTTGCTGCCTCTGCCACTCTCTGACATCTTGGCAGCTGGCCCTGCTGGGCTCTGGCTCAAAAATTCTTAGTTTCGGCCACACCTCTGGCGCTCCCTCCAAACTTGTCCTCTTCTGAGAGCCTTCCCTTCAGGGAAGAGAGAGAACCCCAGAGGTGCCCAGGATGGGGCTCAGTCTGATGGCTCGGTGAGATGCCATCACTGCCCCTGCACGGCTGTGTAGCCTCTTGAATCGCTGAGCTTTTGAGTTGTGTGTTAGAGTTTCCTGGTACAATAGGGAAGCAGAAGGTAAAGAGAAGCACACTGTATTGAGGACATGGAAAGGAGCACACCCCACGGCGGCTGGCCTTCCACCCAGCGCAGAGAGGCAGAGGGTTACAGGACCTCCAATCGGAAGTGGCGCATCGGGTACATTGATGATGTGGGAGGAGCTGATTGGAATTTTCTTTGCACACAAACAGGAAAGGGAAGTTGCAGTTGGGCTGAAGAAGAAGCAGGAAGTGGTAAGCGTGCCCGCTTTGGCCTTCCACCACGTTAGACCACGGCCAGGGCGAGAACCTTTGTGTGCACAGCCCAAGGTCTGGGCCACAGCTGGCACAGGGTGCTCGCCAGATGACCTCAGTGCCCAGTACAGCTGCTGATGGATATGAAGAGCCAGATGTCCTCGGCAGCAGGACAGAAAAAGATGGGTGCTGGCCATCTGAAGGGACGCAGTGTGGCCGTCTTCAGAGCTGGGCCGCCTCCTGCCTTGATCCTTTGACTGGGAAAATACTGGAGTCAGAAGCCGCAGGAGAAAAACTGAAGGAGTAAAAGCTGTCTGGGCGGGGTGGTCTTTAATGTCCTCCCTATCTGTGAGTGTCTCTCTTCGCACTAGCCAGACATTAATATGCTCTGTGACCTTCGGCTGTCCTCATGGGTCAAATGCAAATCCTGGTGCCTGTCCTTACCCTCTGAGGGTGTGGGAACCAATGCAAGTAAAGCCACAAAATCTCCATTTTTGTCAGTTTTCTGAGCAGGAGAAGCACTTTGTAGCCCCCTCCAGTGCTTTTCCCAAGCACACGGTTTGGGCTGCAGGCTCAGGACAGAGCTGCTGGGAGGCTCTGTGGGGACAGAGCTGCTGGGAGGCTCTGTGAAGGCTGCTTCAGGAGGAAGCATGAGCTCTACTCTGCAGGGAGTGGCGGGCACAGATGGAAGCGGGCTGCTCTGTGCCAGGCAGCTGTGTGCCGTCAGAGGCTCGGTAACCATTTCTGGAAGGGAGGGAAGAGAAAGGGAGAGAGGGGCCGAGGGAGGAAGAAAAGGAGGAAAGAATGAAGGAAGCGATTTGTACTATCCAACCCTGGCAACAAACATCTCAGTTTGGTTTGCTTCTGCCTTAAGGTCTTTTCTCTTCCAGCACTGGGGATGAAGCCCAGGGACTGCCTACCACTGAGCTACACCCCTCGCCCTTTCTATTTTATTCTAAGGCAGAATCTCTCTGAGTTTCCCCAAGTGGCCTCAGACTTGTAATCCTCTTGCCTCAGTTTCTGGGCTGCTGAGATAACAGGCGGGAATGTGTGCCAGGCTTCTCAGTATTTTTAATCCTCTGTGTCTACATAACGTTATTTTTATGCAGGCCTTGGTATCCAGCTAAAGGAGATGGGAAGGCATCCCGAGAAGGGCCAGCCGTGACCCTGCCTGTACAAACCGGGGCAGAACAACTGACGAAGGCATGCCTACGGCGTCTGAGGAACACACAAAAGCAAATTGAAAATACCCCACACACTGATGCATCTGGGTTTTTTGCTACACTTTCCCCTAGGTATTGAGAAGCACTGGGGATCAGCTCAGTCTACAGCACTTGCCTAGCAAGAACTAGGCCTTTAAATTCCATCCCCAGTACTAAAACTAAAAAGAAAAAAGTTAAAATAAACCTTAAAAAAAGGAAGAACAAAAATTTGAAACAACAAAGCCGTGAGCCCCAGTGCTGGCCTCCTTTTCAGTCTGGTACCCTGAGGTTCATTCCTGTTTCTCCCTTTCCTTTCCCCCTTTTTCAGTAAAGACCTGGCTCATAGGGGATTAAAAAAAGAATTAAGATGTGCTATGCTCATGTTCTAACTCCCCACAGTAAATGTAACCTTTAGGTACTGCAAACATATACTAATAAAAAGGAAGATGGGGTCAGGTGGGAGGCAAACTGGCTGTTCTTTGCACGTCTTAGTCTTTAGCTGCTTGAATGTACTACTTAAAGATGATAAGGAGGACTGGGGATGTAGCTCAGTGACAGAGCACTTGCCTATCATGTGCAAAGGCCCTGGGTTCAATACCCAGAACTGCAAAATAGAAATGAACAAAAAGAGCAAGGGACTGGGGTATGGCATGGTGGTATGGGGTCTGCCTAGCATGGCCATGGCCATGAATTCAATCTCCAGACTACCAAAATATAACACAGAGCAAGTAAACACAGATAAGGAAATAAAACTACCTAAACACGGGTAGGTCAGAACTGCCTCCCACAGGGGAGCAGATGGGAAAGGGCTACTTCTTCCTCTCAGAAGACTTTGCCTGAGCCTGGGGGTCAACAGTGAGGCCAAACTGAAGTGGGAGGAGAGGAAGGGCAGGAGGAGGGAAAGGAGGGTGTGGAGGGAGACACAGCCCTGACCGGAACAGTGTAGGCTGGGCTAGGAGCCTTTGACCTGACACTGACAGTTGGCCTTCTTACTTTCCAGAGACCTGAAGGCGTTTTTCACAGTGAAACCAGCCCCCTTCCCCCGGGCCCGCTCAGGTATTCCATGGGTGACCACAGTTTGAGGTCAGGAGGAAGAAAGCCTGACCTTCAGATCGTGCTGAGAGGGCCGGTCCTCTCTGAATATGCATCCCACGAGAGCCATGAGGACTGGTTATTTCACCTCTAGTTCCCTTCGCCCACACCCCACCGCACCCCACTTCTGTGTGCCACAGGTGACCCGTCCTGGACGAGCAGGATTTGAGACTCAGGTACACCCTGGAGGCTTGGCCGTCTTGAGAATAAACTCAGCAAGACTCCTTGTTCCGCTGATTAACATTTGGGTCCTGGTTTGATGAGAAAACTAAAAGCAACTGTGAGTGAACTCTGAAGTCACACCGAGATGAGCTCGTCAAATTCAGAGACAGACAGCAGAAGGTGATTGTCAGGGGCTATGGCTTGGGAGTCAACGTTTAAGGAATATAGAATTTCACTTAGAGAGGAAAAAAATACCCTGGAGCTGACTGTGGCATGACAGTGTCACAGAACTGTCACTAAACATGGTTGAACGAGTTAGTGTGGTAATGCATGCCTGTACTCCCAGAATTCAAGAAGCTGAGGCCAGGGAAGCTAAAGGCTTTATTCAGGTTTTCCTCAGTATCCATTTTCATACTTTGTTTTTCATTGTCTGAGGCCAGCCTGGAAAAAAAAAGAAATATATATATATATATCTCCAAAATTAAAAAATAGTTACCAAGTTGACTGACAGCCCCGAGATGCCTGAGCCTTTAAGCAGACAAGTAAACGTGCCGTGCTCACTGGCCTGGTGGCACCCGCCTGTGCCCAGCGCCCCGCAGGCTTCTGCTGAGGTTCAGGTGGGTGGTGTTCCATTGCCTTTGGCTTTTAAGTCACATTCCTACCTGAGTCTTTCTCCAAGATAGTGTCATAATCAGCGAGAATGAGCATTATCTCGAGCTTTGTGCTATGGGAGAGGTCTTTGTACTTTGAACGGAACTGGGGCAGAGGCAATCTGGTATTTTAGAGAGATATTGCTGTTCCCTTTCCCAGCCAGGTTCGGGTTTGGCAACTCACAGCCACTGTGTCTCAATCCCAGATCAGCTCAGATCAACCCAGTCTCACTTTCGAAACAGCCTGGCAAAGAGCCGAGGTGCCCATGACCGAGTCACCCAGCACAGCCTCCGCCAGGGAGAGGCCTTGGGTTTGCCCAGCACGGTCCCCTGCCCCCAGCGGGAAGCGTGGTCACTGAGGGACTCAGATTGGACTCCCAATCAGAATATTGACCAGGAAGCCTAGCTAAAGAGCTCCTAACCTGGCTCGAGCCATATCTAAAACTTCTGTATTTCAATGGTAGCTTGTTTCAGAGGCAAGGCTCGTGGAGGAGGATTGAAAAGTGGATGGGCCGCTCTGTTGGTTTTTCTTCCTGTGCAAAAGCTTTTCAATAGGATGAGATCCCAGTTGATTCTTTGTGATAGTTTCTGTGCAGTCTGGTTTTGTTCATAAAGTCTTTGCCTACACCAGTGTCTTCAAGAGTTTTACCTACCCTATCTTCCAGTAGATTTAATGTTTCTATTTTAATATTAAGATCTTTGATTAATTCTGATTTTAGCTTAGTACATAGTGGAAGACATGAGTACAGCTTTAATTTTCAGCATGTGTAGACTCAGCTTTTCCAGCACCACTTATTAAAGAGGCAATCTTTCTTTCTGTAAATATGTTTGGCACCTTTGTCAACGATCAGGTGGCTTAGCATGTCTGGAGTCGTTTCTGCATTTCTAATCTTTCCATTGATCTATGGGGGCTTTTTGTTTTGGGTTTTTGTTGTTGTTGTTGCTTTTAGTTCTGCGCTGTTTTTATCACAGTAGCTTTAGTCAGGGATTATGATGCTCTCTGCCTTAAAATCATTGTTGCCCAGGATTGCTAGGTTTCTTCTGGTTCCAGATGAATTTTAGGAATTTTTATTGGGATTGCCTTGAATCTGTGTAATAGTTTCAAAAGTATGGCCATTTTCACTATGGTGGGTCTTCCTATCAAAGAGCATTGGATATCTCTCCATTTTCTAGTATCCTCTTACATCTCCTTTTTCAAGTGCTGTAGTTTCCAATATAGAGGTCTTTTACATCCTTTGTTTGATTCCTAGATTTTTTTTTTTTGGTGCTATTGTGTAATGTGTTATTACCCTGATTTCTCTCTCAGTGAATTTGTTATTCATGAACAAGAAGGCTATTGATTTCTGAGTGTTGACTTTGTGTCTTCTGGATTGACTTTTTGAGTGTTCTTTCCTACTTTTATTTTTTCCTTTTTCATTTTTATCGGTACCGGGGATCGAACTCATGACTGCCTGCTTGCAAGGCAGGTGCTTATGCTGCTGAGCTAAATCCCCAGTTGACTGCATTTGGTTATTAAATCTAGTACTCTTTTGGTGAAGTTTTTGGGGCCTTTTAAGTAGAATATCATGTCACCTGAAAATAACGATAGTTTAACTTCTTCCTTTCCTATCTTTATTCCTATTATTTGTTTCTCTTGTCTAATCGCTCTAGCTAAAGTTTTCAGGACTCTGTTGAATAAGAGTGGAGACAGTGGACATCCTTGTCTTGTTCCGGGTTTTAGAGAGATAGTTTTCAGGTTTTGTCCACTTAGTAGGATGTTGGCTATTGATTTGTCATAGATGGCTTTTATCAGATTGAGATAAAGACCATCTATTCCAGTTTTCTGTAGGTTTTTTTTTTTTTTTTTTTTTTTTTTTTTTTTTTTTTTACCACGAATGGGTGCTGGACTTGGTCAAAAGCTTTTCCTGCATCTATTGAGATGATCATATGATTTTTGTCCTTGGCTCTGTTAATATGGTGTATTACATGTATGGATATATGTATGTTGTGCCATCCATCCCTGCATCGCTGGGATGAATCCCACTTGATTGTGGTGTATAACGTTCTTGATGATTTGCTGCAGTCTGTATACCAGTATTAAGGATTTTTGCATCTACGTTTATTAGGGAAATTGGTCTGTAATTCTCTTTCTTAGTTGGATCCTTCTCTGGTTTGAGTATCAGGGTAATGCTTGCTTCTAGAAAAAAAAAATTGGGAGTATTCCTTCCCTTTCAGTTTCATTGAAGAGTTTGAGAAGTAGTGGTGTAAGATCTCCTCTAAATTTCCTTTAAAATTCAGCAGTGAATCCATCAGGAGTGTTAGCTTTTCTTTGTTGATTGGGATTTTTTTTGTGTTTTGATTTTTGTTTTTGTTTTTGGTACTAGGGATCAAACTCACAACCTTGTGCAGGCCAGGCAGGCACTTGTGCTGCTAAGCTAAATCCCTAGCCCTACTGATAGGTTTTAATGACATCTTTGATTTCCTTGATTGATATTGGTTTATTTAGGACTGTTATATCTTCCTGATTCAGCTTTGGTAATTCATATGTATCTAGTAATCTGTCCATTTTTTTCTGTATTTTCCAACTTATTAGAATATAAGTTTTCTGGGGCTGGGGATTTAGCTCAGCGGCATAAGCACCTGCCTTGCAAGCAGGTGGTCATGAGTTCGATCCCCGGTACCGATAAAAATAGAAAAAAAAAAAAAAACCAAAACCAAAACAAAACAAAAGAATGTAAGTTTTCAAAGAAGGTATAGATGATCTTCTGGATTTCTACAGGGTCTCTTATGATTTCATTCCTATTACATGAATTTGAGTCTTTTCTTTCCTTTTTTTGATAAAGTTGGATAAGGATTTGTCAATTTTATTTAATCTTTCAAAGAAGCAACTCTTCAATTCTTTGATTCTTTGTATTGTTTTTTAGTCTACAGCACATTAATTTCTGCTCTGATCTTTATACTTTATTCCCTCCTATTAGCTTTTGACTAATCCTGCTCTTCTTATTCTAGAAGTTTGAGGTTCACCATTAAGTTGTTTATATGTGCCTGCTCTGTTTTCTTGAAATGAGTATTTACCGCTATAAATTTCCCTCTTAGGACTGCTTTCATTGTGTCCCACAAGTTCCAGTATGTTGTCATTCACTCAACTGTAAAAACTATTTAATTTCTTCGTTAATTTCCGCTGCGATCCACTGATTGTTCAGTAGGGTGCTGTTTAATTTCCGTGTATTTATGAAGTTCTTGTGGTTTCCTCTGCCATGGATTTCCAGTTTCATTGCACTGTGGTCTGATAGTATGCGTGGGATAATTTCAGTTCCTTTGCATTTCCTTAAGCATTTTCTTTTTCTTTTTTTTTTTGTCTTTTTCCTTTTTATCGGTACCGGGGTCAAACTCACGACTGCCTGCTTGCAAGGCAGGCGCTTATGCCGCTGAGCTAAATCCCCAGCCCCATCCTTAAGTATTTTCTATGTTTATTTTGGAGAATGTTCCATGTGCAGCTGAGAAAAATGTGTATTTTGATGGTTGTAGATTTTTTTGATCATGGATAATTGTAATATGCCCCATTTATCTGTATGTCAAGTTCTTTTTCTCTATCAAGAAATATTCTGCCATCATCTCTGTGAACATGTTTTATATTTGTGGTGTCTCCAGCTTTCTCATTGACTCCAATCTATCTAAAGTTGATCTTCTTTGTCTCATCTAGCAGTTGCTGGATTGATTTCTCATGGCCTCTTGCTATTTTTGAGTAATCTTTGTTTTCCTTGTTGCTAACTGCAAGTCTGTCTTCAATATCCGAGATCCTGTCCTCACATTGGCCTAATCTGTTTTAAATACTTTCAGTGGAGTTTTTTTGGGAAAGGGTACCAGGAATCAAACTCATGATCTTGTGTCTGCTAGGCAGGCACTTATGCCATTGAGCTATGTCCCCAGCCCTCCTTCATGGAGTTTTTACTCTCCCGGATATCTGCTTGAATCTGCTTTATGGATTCCGTTTCTTTCCTATGCTGAGCTTCTGTGATTTTCTTAAGCTTGTCTATTTTCTTGTGCCTGCCCTACAGTCGCTAAGCGTGGTGTGTGTTTTGGTAATCCCTGTAGTTATCTGAGAGATGATTTCTGATTTCATTTTTTCCAGAGCCTCTTTCAACTGCTTTGTTGGTCCCACTTCAGAGAGGCCCGGTGGGGGCCTTCAGATGGCCCCGCCTCATTGGCCTGGATTTGCCTTTGGTGAACTGGATGTCTGGGGTTGGTGTCTTGCTTGTGTGCCTTTTCATCTTCTTTTCTAGGTTTGATTCCTGGGGGATGCTTGTAAGTTGCCTGTGGTGGGCTGCTTTATTGGTGTATTTAGGCCCCCAGGTGATGACCTCTCTGAGGTGTCTTCCAGGTGTGGCTGGTTTTTGGGTTTTGAGTCTTTTGGAAGATCTTATACTTCAGTTTGTCGGGGATGAGAGTTGTTGCTTGTTTGGCCCTGGTTCTCTGACAGTGTGCCACAGTATTTTCTGTGAGCCTTGTTATGCTCTATGCTTATCGCCCTAGTAACCATGTACCTGGAGCACCGACCACATTGTTATAAATATAGTGTTATAAATTAACTGACCTTGTCATCATGCTGTTTTGTATGTGTCACCCCCCCCACCCCAGTAACCTGTTTGCTGTGTCAACCTTTGTTCTCCTTGTAAGAGACAAATGATACTGTGTCAACCTTTGTTCCCTTTGTGAGAGACAAATGTTCCTGGAATTGGCAGACCAAGGGCTATGAATTGGCTAACCACCCACTGTGAAATGCCTCTGACCTCAAGCAAAGGGGAACAGAGGCCCACCTTGTTTCTGTTTCTCATCACTATGTACTTAATGATCAATGAGCTAATCATAAATGAACTATAAAAGTCAGTCAAAATTCTGATTCAGTTGCACAGCTTGCAAATTCCATCTGCACCGTGTCGCTGGGCCAGCTAAAATAAAAGCGCTTCTTGTAAAAAAGATGTCATCTTGCCCCGTTTATTATCTCGGGGGTCTTGCCCCGTTTTTCATCATGTGGCCTTGTTTTTGGGGGGATTACAACAACCCTTAGTCAGTTCAGTCATGGAATACCGGACAAATAGCTGTTTAGAACAATTATGTCACTTTTGTCTAGAGTGGGGCCAATAGCCTCAAATACAACCTAGAAATCAACAAACTGATCTAGCCCTTAATTTGCCACTTTTAACCGTATGAACTAGATTTGTGATTATTTAACAAAATATAAAACACAAAAGAGAATGATGTGCAGTATATAAGTCCTTAATGTGTCAATTCCCCCTTGGTGATTAAAATTTAAAATGGATTAAGGAGGAAAATAGAGAAGTGGAAGAAGAGAAAGAGATTAGAAGTATGGTTGGAGGACAAAGGGGGATCCCGCCAGCTTGGGGGAACCGGTGCAGAAGACTGAAGGAAAAGAGGGCCCCGCGGCTCCCTCCTCCGCCCCCTCTCTCTGCAGAGCCTCCAGGGTCACCATGACCACGTGCCGCAGTTTCCAACAGCTCCTCTCACGGAGCCCGGCTCAGGGAAGGCGCGCCGGCTCCTCCTCCTCGTCCTCTCAAGTGTGTCTCTGCTCTCTCTGTGGGCTTCAGTTTGCACTTCGGGTTCTTCCCGGGCCCGCGGGCCCACGTCCCCCTTGTCTTCCTCACCGTGCCGTACCCCAGCGCCTGGCCAGCAGCTCTCCAGGAGGCTGCTTCCTCTGCTGCTTCCTGCTCTGCCATTTTTGTCTGCACCCTTATTTTTTCAGCCTTAGTTGTAGCTGCCTTTCTCCTTTTCTTTTTTTTGCAACAGAGAGAGGGTCTCACTGTAGTTCACTGACCTTGAACAACTCACGGGCAGCATAGTCCGGCCTTGAACGCAGGCTGTCTCTCGGCCTCAGGCTCCCGAGTGCCGGGATTACAGGTGTGCACCACCATGCCCAGAAGTTGTGCCTGTTCACTGTATTTGTCTGCTGTAGTTTGGACATCGTGGCCTCCACGGCCCGCGCGTTGCAGGCTTGGTCTCCAGGATGGTGCTCTTGGGAAGTGGCAGGAACTTTAAGGGCGGCCTGGTGAAAGAGCTTTAGGGTAGGAGACTTTGAGCCTCTGAAGGATTTTGTGCAAACCCAGTGCTTCCTTTTTCTCTTTTGCTTCCTGCCCTTGAGGTGAACAGTTCTTCACCACATTTTTCCTGTGATTATTATCCAGAACCGCTACTAAAGTCCTGAAAGCAATGGGTTTACCTGATCATGGGCTAGACTCTAAAACTCAGTCAGGCAGGCATGTTGGCACATACCTGTAATCCCAGGACTCAGGAGGCCGAGACAGAAGGATGGTCATGAATTTGAGGACAGCCTGAATCTCATCTCAAAAAAAAAAAAAAAAATAAATAAACAAAATAATCATAAACCCAAATAAATCTTTTCTTTTTATAAGTTGACTGTCCAGGTATTTGTTGTTCTTTTTTTTGGAACTGGGGATTGAACTCACGACCTCGCACTTGCCAGGCAGGTGCTTGTGCTGCTGAGCTAAATCCCTGGCCAGGTATTTGTTATTGTGATGGGAGACACTGCCCTGAAGCTGTCACCCTCGCCTCTCACTCATTCACATTTCACTTGAAAAGACTCCACTCATCGAGTGTCCACTTCAACTCTGTTAGAATTTTTTAAAAACAAGTCGTTGACCTGTTCCCAGAATGTACCCGCACTGCATTCCGAGTGTAAGGAGGTGCTGGCCGTGCCACTCATTCTGCGAGTGTGCCTTGAAAGGCTCATGTTATTTACCCTAATCTGGAAGTTGGAACTTTGCCCTGCCAGGCAGCTGCACTTATTTTTTTCAGCTTTGTTATTTTAAACAACACGATCATCCCAGCACTTTTGGAGGCTAAACTGGCAAGATCAAAAGTTCAGATCTTGCCCAGACAATTTAGAGAGGCACTGTCTCAAAATGAGTAAAGGAAAGGAAAGAAGGAAAAAAGAAGAGAGGGAAGGAAGGGAGGAGAGCAGAGTGGAGGGAAGAGGAGGAGGGAAGGCTGAGGGTGTACTACGGTGGGTTCAAGAGCACCCCTCGGATTCCATCCCCAATACAATAAAGGGAAGCACAGTTATCAGCACAGCCGAAGAGTCATTGCCATCTTCCTATTGCTTTCTTCCAAGTTTTAAAGCTAAGTATTGAGAGCTGATGACTCCAGCAGGCCCTGACTGCCCAGATCCACAACAGAGGTAAGAATATAGGTCAAACTCCAGCCCAGGTGCCATCACTGTGAGCAGGTGGCCCAGGGCCTGGCGTCCGCATACACTGACCCTGCAGGGCTGGGTGTTTTTGCCCAGAAAGAAACTCTACATTGCAATGTGAGCCTGTCTGCCCAAAACTGGTCCCTTTAGGCCCCGCTCTGCAGTTTTGTGTCTTCCTAGTGAGGCTAGCAAAGCTGACCTCTTGTCCTTTCCAAACCTCAGATAAGAAGGTGTGGATATGTGGCCTGGGCTGGCCAATCAGAGGACTTCATCCTCCTTAGCTGCGGAGATTGGTTCCAGATTAGGAATAGACACATACTGGCCTGACCAAAGTCTTTCTTAGACTTGCTTCCCCTTAAAGTTAACTGTAAAGCTGATCTGTGTCACTAAGCATTGCGGAAATGACACAGGACCTCAAACAGCCATCTGCAACGTGCACCAATTAGAAATGAAACTCAGTATCATTCTAGCTCCTTACTCTGTTCCTTGGAAAGAGGATATTTATGTCTGCATCTTCGTGTCTTCTGCCACATGACTTTGTAGTGCTCCCACTAGTAAATAGAATGCAAGTTCCTGCCCATGGACTTTGGGCTTGGCTGCGTGACTTGTTTTTATTTATAGGCTGAGTAGAAATGACCAGTTAGGTTAGTCGGCTTTTTATTGCTGTGACCAAATACCCGAGCACATCAACTCAGAGAAAGAAAGATTTGCTTTGGTTTGCAGTCTCAGAGATTTCAGGGCACGGCTCTCTGGTTCCACTGCTATGAGCCTGAGGTGAGGCAAAATAGTATCAGTCACCACTACCCCACTTCCTCCAAGTATGCGCTTGTCTTCCAAAGGCCAGTTCAGCTAGGAACTCAGCAATGGAGTAATTTTTGTTTTACCCAAATCATAACACCAGTTGTGATATCACCTTGGTTTTTGTTCATAATTCCTTCCTCAAGGGAGGCTGTTGAAACTCAGAGAACAGGTTGTAAAACCTTCCTCTGTCTGGAGGGGCCTGGCTTACACTCAAGAGGGAGGAATGGTGTACAGAGAAACCAAGAAGAATCTGGACAGACAGGCCTTGCTGAATTTCCCCACTAGTCAGTCTATTAGCAATCACGCTTAGTGTCTCCATAAAATGCCAGGAGGACAGAGTCCTGAGTCCATGGACAGCCTGGCATGAGGAAGTTCCTGGAAAGAGCACAGATGCTCTCATATCTCCATGTCTCACCCTGTGCACCTGTCTTCAGCTGCACCCTTCCTAATGTCCTTTACTATAAACTGGTAAATGTGTTTCCCCAAGTTCTGCAAGCAGCTCAAGCAAATTAATTGAACCCAAGGAAGGAGTTATGTGAACCTCCGTTTATAGCTGATCAAACAGAAGCACGGGTGAAAACACATGGGCTTGTGATTGGTACTCAAACAGGAGGTGAGTGGACAGTCTTGGGACTGTGTCCTCAAACTCTACAATCCGATGATGTCTCCAGCGAGTGTCAGAACTGAAGTTGAGCCAGCCATGGTGGCATATGCCTGTAATCCCAGCACTTGGGAGGCTGAGGCAGGAGGACAGCTGTCAATTTGAGGCCTGCCTGGGCTACATAAGCAACTTGAAGGCTAAATTTATCGACCCTGTCTCAAAAAACTGAAACCAAACCAAACCAAAACGCCAAAACTGAATTGGATCAGAGGCCACTGCACTGGTGTGTCTGCTGCAGAATTGGTTTCTGGGTAGGTGTGAGAAATTCCAACACAGCTTGTGTCAGAAATGATCTGGGTTGTGAGTGTGCAGCAGAAGGAACTGAGCATAGGTTGGTTTTTCCCTCTGTGTCCTCAGAAGAGTGTGCCAGTTCTTAAGGCCTTCAGAGTGTCACTAGCCATCTGGACCTGCTATTCTCAGCCGTGAAAAGAACACGCTGTTCGGTTCCAGGTGAAGACACGGAGCAGATGGATGCTAAGCTGAAGCCTGGAGCCCAGTGGAGCCAGTGCCACCTTACCATAGCCAGCTGTGGGCATGTGGGCATGAACTAAGTGTTTACTCTGGCAGGCTTCCTTTTTTGGTATGGGGATTGAACCCAAGGCTTCATGTGTCCCAGGGAAGCCCTCGAGTTCTGAGATAAATCTCTAGCGCTTTTTATTTTGGGACAGGGTCTTATGAAGTTACCCATAAGAAAGAAAGAAAGAAAGGTAGATCAATCCCTGGTACAAAAAAAGAAAGAAAGAAAGAGAGAGAGAGAGAGAAAAAATGAAGGTGAGCGTCTATTTATGAGGTGGGTTCATAAAACAATAAAGTATACATCTTGGCAGGGAATATTTTTATAATAGAGGCCAAAAGTTCATATTGTTTGGCAGATTCCTTACTTCTTTAAAACTATATACATAAAGCCTTTAAAACATAAAATTATATATTATTAATGTTAATAATTATATCCATAATTTTACAAATTATTGATAATTTTAACATAAATACACATTCTCAGCTAAGTAGGTGAGAACTCTTACCATGTTCTCTTGTGATTTATTCCTTCCTCTTCCTTCAATTTCCTTACGTACTTTCGTTATTTTTTTTTTTGAGAGGAGATTTGGACATTAAATCTTCTTGCCTTTGTTTTATTGAAAATGTCTTTGCCTGCACTTTTTTTTGAGACAGAGTTTGCTTAACTGTAGTCCATCCTGACCTTGAACTCATAACCCTCCCACTTCAGTGTCCTGAGTGCTGGGCTTTACAGGTGTGCACAAGCTTGCTTGGCTTAACACTTTGAAAATATTACTACACTGTCTTTCTGCTTTTGTGTTTGAATCTAACTGTATGCTCTTTGTCTTTCACCTTTGGTAGATTTTAAGATCTTTCTGTTTTGTTTTGTTTTTAAGATCTTTGCCTGTGATACCTACAATTTCACCCTAACGTGTATACGAGTAAATTTTTAAAATTTTTGCTGGGCATTTATTGTGACTCTTGCATCTCAGGATTCATATCGTCTATCAGTTTTGGAAATCGTCAGTGATTATCTCTCTGAATGACTATCCTCCACTCTCCCCTTTTCTCCCCTGTTATAGTTGTAGTCTCTGAATCTCCATTTTCTCTTTCTCATTCTGTGCTTCCTTCTAAGTTAATCCATCCAGTCCACTAGTTTTCTCTTCAGCTCTACCTAATATATTCATTGTTTTGATGTATAATTCCTAAAGTTCTGATTGTTCTGTATATATATTGGTTCTTGTTCCAGTCTTCTTCCTTTTTTGTATTTCTTCCTTTGATTTATTGGTTCACTTGGTGCTGAGCTACATCCCTAGCCCTTAAGTTTATCTTTCAAAAAACCTTATGACCAGATCTCACTGAATTGCCCAGTTAGCCTCAAACTTATGGTCCTCCTGCCTCAGGTTCCTGAGTAGCTAGATTATGGGAATATGCCACTAAATCCAATTTATAATTTTAAAATACTTATTATATAACCTCAATCATATTGTTATAACTTGGGGGGGGGTCTTGGTACTGGGAATTGAACTCAGGACCTTGCACCTCCCAGGCAGACACTGTGCCACTGAGCTATACCCCAGGCCTCTTTTTGTTTTTTTGAGACAAGATTTTGTTATGGAGTTTAGGCTGGCCTTGAGCTCACTAGTAGCCCAGCCTGGTCTTGAACTCACAGTATTTTCCTGCCTCAGCCTCCCAAGTGCTGAGATTACAGGCATATTACATCATGCCTGGCCCATATTATTATAAATTTAAATCCTAAGATCATGCGAGGAACAGGTACATGATTATCAATTCCTCAGGGAAGACTTCTTTCCCTTGTCTCTTAACTCCAATAGCAAATTAGG